GATTAAAAAATACGGAAGCATACTTTGATCAATAGATTTCAATGTCTTAAACGAGTTATGATCTTCCAATTGTTACGCAATTTTCTTGAATTTTTTTCTCTGTCGATGAGAATGCAAAGAACTATGAAACTCACGTACAATTGGGGACTATGACCCCAAATTAAATAATTGTAATTGGCAGTTATTAATTTTGCGTTATTTCAAATGGGCCCCTCGTCAATTTAAAATAACATCTCCCGGTCTCTAGACTTTATTCCTATGACAATTAATATTCATTAGTCCAAAATTAAACTTAATGGATCACTTTATCGACAATACTTTAAAATTAGCACCACACATTTTAATATACATACATGTGTGGCACCATACCTTGGAATTTTTCCAACAAAAAATATATAGAATTAATAGTTCTTAAAAACGAGAAACTAAATTCAATGGACAATATTTAATTGTACTTGAAACTTCAAAACAACACAACCTGTACAATATGTAAGGAAAGGTAATTATTTACAAAATATACAAAACATTCGGCAATGGTGGCACCTACACGTCCACTATACCTTTCCATCTCTACTGCTCAAGTTCGGCATCTCTTCGTCATCTACTTTTGTCGTCTCACCTAGTTAAAATCAAGAGACGATCCACAATGCCACCTAACCTGCGATGAGGTTAAGTATCATCATCGGCTTCCACATTTCTCTCTTCATCCGTTGTCTTCAATTCGGGGATTGTTGAAGTTGAACCTTATAAGGAAATATCAAAAAGAGCCAAAGCTACCCATATTCAGGAGAAATTCAAGTTTCTAATACCATATGTCATTAAATTCAAATAAAAGTATGTAATATATAAGTTACCTAGCGTATTAATGAGTTCAAGCAACAATTTTCTCTCTTTCCTTCTGATTTTTAGGGGATAAAAGAGTAAGATTTAGGGTTCGTTTGATTGCGAAGATGGAATTTGGATGGAAAGAAAATGAATTTCAGATAATTGAATTGTTTATAAATTGTTTTTCTGGGAATTGTAAATTATTGTGTTTGATTGGAATACATTTTGGGAAAATCAAACTTCTATCGAAAAGAAGCAAATGAAAGGCGATGAAATAAATCAAAAAATGGATTTTTGTTTTTCCACGTGAAAAATGTTGAAATAAAAGTATTTTTTTTGGGTTCGTTTGACTTTGTTTTATATAAAAATATCAATTAAAGAGATAAAATTTAATGGTATTAGAGATGAAATTTGTTTACATTGCCAACAAAAAAAAAACCAAGAAAATCATCTATTTTTAGGTGTTCGTTTAATTTTGTTTTATATGAAAATTGTCAATTAAAGGAAAATATTTTTTTACAATAATTCTTAAAATTTGTTGGAACCCAAAAAAAATAAAAAATAAAATAAAATCTACAGTGACTGGAATTGGACTTCCAATTCAAGGAAAATGTGAAATTCAGCTAAGGTGGCAAAAAAAGTGGAAAATGAATTCTAGGTAAAAAAATATTTTCAAACAATGCAAAAGTGAAAGTTGGAATTGATTTTCCATTTTCTAGAGAAAATTTTGGCTTATCAAACGTAATATATTATCTTTTGCAGAGGATTATTCCCAAGATAGTTTGATGAATTGCGAGACCAAGTGGCAATATATAGGGGATTCAACTATGTGGAAGCCGGGATTTCTTGAAGTAATGCACTTACCAGGCATTTTTGAGTAGTCATCGACCAGCTATTGTTGGTCAATGTCCAGTTATTTAAAGATATTTATTCGACTCGACCACCTCCTTCTGGGGGCAGTCAAATCCCTTGGCCAGAGCAGCCCCTTGCGCTTGATGATCCTTGTCGTAAATTTTTTTCAAATTCGCAGCTCGTTGGTCTTTGAACGTTTTTTTGTTTCTCACTCATGACTTTATTTTTATTTATTTTTTTAGTTTTACTAGCCAGTGACACCATGCCCAAATGTTGATTTTGAAATCTACAACAATATTCTGAAACAAAATAGAGACAGGTCACAACTGTGGTGAACCAAACTTCGATCTCTGCCACAAAGCAAGCCATGCTAGTCTCTATACAGTTGACCTAACTTGATTGACACCACTTCACATAAATGAAAGCCAGACTCAAATATGGGGTTGAAAGTCTACAAACATCCTTACAACCATACATTGAACCATCAAAAACAATATAACTATGCAATCTGTAATTAGAAAAATAGTTTTCTCTTCCTTTTTTTTTTTTTTTTTTTTTTTA